TTGATTAAGATCTATTATTTCATCTTGTTAATAAACTGAATATTACATCTATCTTGAAATTATATTTTGAAATTGAATTACATTTTAGCTAATCACAATAAGAATATTATCATTACCTATCTTTAGATTAACTTTAAAATAATAGTAAATATATTCTTGTTAATAAAACTTTTAAAGACTCTTCCAACTATCACTTTAAGTACATGATTACTTTTATCATGTATTTTTATAATATTAAATTTAATACTCATCCTTATCTCAGAACTCACATCAAAAAGATAACAATATAAAATAATATCATAATTTTGCTTGTCATGTATAATATTAGGGAAAGTATTTGTAATGCTATTAATTTTATATTACTTTGATTGCTAAGTATATACTGAGAATGTCAATGAGGTATAAATTCTCAAATTATCTTTAATATTTTGATTATCATATTACTGTCTTCATTACTTAGAAGAAAGTATGTACCCATATTTCAAAAATCATAACTATCACAGATATACAAAATAAATAGATGTCAGAAATATTTGTTAGTATTATGAGTAAAGTTTATGAGTATAAGTCATCTGTAAAATTATAGTTTTTCTAATTATCAAGAACTTATGAAGCAAAAATCTTTTGATGATTATTAAATAATCTTAAAATATTCAACTTTATAATCTTTGCTGACTAATAGCTTGAACGAATTTTTATATTAAGTTCTAGGTTTGTCTCACTTACAAGATAAGCTATTAATGATCCATGTATCTTTTGCTAAATATTGATAACTTTAATTTAGCATAAATTTTAATCAATAATATCTAAGCTATTCTTTTCTGCTAATTCTTTGATAATAATCATAATAGCTGGTAATATATACAATTTTATTACTTTGTTAGCTATCATTTGTCAAATGATTTCAGGTTATTTAATCTTGTCATTATCTTTAATTGGATGACTATGATTGGATATATTTTTGAAATATTTAATACAAACTATTTGAGTTGAAGCAATATGTATTATTTTTATCCTTGTATCACACTTTCCAGAATCAAGCTTGCTAGTTTTTCTTCACTTCTCAATGGAAATATCTTCTTTATGTGTACTTGATTCTCTATGTTTTGCTAGATGGCAGGAGTAAATAATCCAAAAATCATTATTCTTACATTTCCAACTACTATATCACATCCACATGTTAGAAACAAGTGGCCACAAATTTTCACAAAATTTCTTTTCTGAAACTTCAAATGATTTGTCAACATTAAATATACTGAGGCATTTTTTATTTATTGCTTACATATTAGAGAGAAATAGAGAAATGATGAGAATATAGAGAAATGTGAAAATATAGAGAAATGGTGAGAATATATAAAGAAATTACGAGTATGTATGGTGAGTAAGTATATTAGTGCATGTCTTAAATGTTATTAGTCTTAATTAGCCTGCGTTTAACATAAAAATCATAATTAGCTTCCACCCCCTCCCCTTCTCACCCTTGAAATATGAGAATGTTTTCTCGAAAAGTTTATTTTATTTTGCATGTAACACTACATGTAAATCAGAATCAAATCAACCCAGATCGACTCAATCCGGATTGCACTACATAGGAATTGGTGTCAAGAATAGAGGTATATATTCACATTCTTATATAGAAAATATAATTATTAGTATCTTGAATAAAAAACAAAATTATCTAAATACATTACGTAAAAATCAGGTGACTTTACGTGATTATAACCAGACGCGTAACCTGTACTATCGAGTCATAATTAATGGCAATGAATAACAGTGCCCAAGAGGAACAAAGCGGTAAGAAGACTACACATCTAGATTCGCTATAATTTTCGCGCTGATGTCCATTACCTAGTTTCTTAATTTGCACTACTCCTTAAGAGGAAGCAAAACAGGAAAGCGCAGCTATTGAAGAAAGATTAATTAATGAAGAATATAAAATATGGAAAAAGAATTCGCCTTTTCTATATGACTTGGTAATCACTCATGCCCTAGAATGGCCTTCATTAACTATTCAATGGTTTCGTGATGTTGATAAGTAAGTGCACTTTAAAAAACACTAGTTTTCCTTGTTTTTGCTGATAACGTATTTCTCTCCGTTCTATTATACTATAAGGCCTGAAGGGAAAGATTACATGATACAACGACTGCTAATTGGAACTCATACATCTGGCGACGAGCAAAATTATCTGGAGATAGCACATGTTCAACTTCCAAAGGATGACGCTAATGCCGATCCAAGGAAATATGATGATGATAAAGGAGGTAAAATCCAAGGTTGATTCTTCCTCGCGCTTTCTTATAATTAATAATTAAGAGTTCAATAATGTATCTCCTAAACAGAAATTGGAGGCTATGGAGGAAATGCAGAAAGCCGAGTTTTCGTTGTTCAAAGGATTAATCATGATGGAGAAGTTAATCGTGCTCGATACATGCCTCAAAATCAAGATGTTATCGCTACTAAAACAGTGAGTGGTGATGTTTACATTTTCGATCGAACTAAACATCCGTTAAAGCCCGCCGCAAATAGCATTTGTTCTCCTGAACTCAGGCTAAAAGGACATACAAAGGAAGGGTAAATAATTTATTTTGTTTTTAAATTTTTTAATTTCTCACCTAAATTAATGATATTTCTCTAATAATAAATCAACAGATATGGTTTAGCATGGAGCCCCTTTAAGGATGGTCATTTGCTAGATGCGTCAGAGGATATGACTATTTGTCATTGGTTTGTTGGCTGATATTTGATAATATAATATGTCATTATCATCTTTTATTATTATCACTTTACAAATCCATTTTTTAGTAAACATTATATATTAACAGGGATATAACGGGGTATACCAAAGATACACGCACGCTTGATCCATTTCGCATCTATCAAGGTCACGAAGCTATTGTTGAAGTGAGCAATAAACATTTGTTTCTATATTGTATCAATTCAATTGCTTACATTAATTGTTCAATATAGGACGTTGCTTGGCATTGTCTAAATCCAAATACTTTCGGATCAGTTGGTGATGATCAAAAACTCCTTATGTAGGTTATAATTAACTTCACTTCTTTCTTGCAGATTGTAATTTGGTTTAAGATTTTACTTTTATAAATAATATTATTAGTTGGGATATACGTACCGAAAGTACTGAAAAACCTGTACACACTGTTAATGCACATACGAGTGAAATTAATAGTCTTGCATTTAATCCAAAAAGTGAATTTGTATTAGCCACCGGTGCAGGAGATAAGGTCTTATTAAGATTTTTCATTATATCATCTTTAAAAGAAAAGTCTAATATATTTGATTCTGCCAGACTGTGAATCTCTGGGATCTTCGAAACCTTAAAATAAAATTACACGCTTTAGAAAATCATCAAGGTGAAGTAATCCAAGTCGCATGGTCACCTTTTGAGGAGACTATATTAGCATCCGCAGCAGGCGATCGTAGAATTATGGTATGGGATTTGAGTCGAATTGGCTCTGAACAAACAGCTGAAGATGCCGAGGATGGACCGCCTGAACTACTGGTTTGTAGTAATTAATTTTGGTAATATAAAACCGCATGTTCTTTTTGCGTGAATTAGTTATATACCACTTCATATGTTTAGTTTGTACACGGTGGACACACAAATAAGATTTCGGAATTCGGTTGGAATCCTCATACACCTTGGGTGATTGCAAGTGCCGCGGAAGATAATATAATTCAAGTGTGGCAACCTGTAAGTCACTACCGTTTCCATGGTCTTTAACAAAACATACCTTGAATTTTCAATTTTTGATCCCTCAAATTTAGGCGCGAAATATTTATGTTATTGATGAATCAGATATACCACCAGAAGAGTTAGAAAACTGATAGAAATTTAATTGCTTTGCAAAGATTACGTTTAAGCTTAATATTGGATAAAAAGTATAAAATTATTTGCAAAAATGGTCAAGAATTACACGAAATATTTTCAATGTTTCGAGCAGTTAGGAAAAAGAAAAATTCTTTCGGGATTTTATCTGCTGATGTTCAATAAAGTGAGAGATATACAATGGCTCAGGGAATAAATGGAACACGAAAATTTTATGAAAAAAATTCTAATGCCTCTAACGTCGATTAAATATACCCAGTTCCTATAATCATTTTAAAGCTAATAACCTAGAGAATAACTAAAGAAAGCCTAAAAATATATTAATGTTGCCATTCTAAAGAAATTGAGTGATTTACATGAGTAGTGAAATTATAACTCCAAATAGTTTTGTTATTAGGGAGGATTGAAGCGTATTGACCTAAATACCAATATTGCCATCAAATTCGTTTGATCAATGCTAGTAAAAAAAAAATCGTTGAATTATTTTTACTAACATTGATCTGTGCTCCGAGATCTAATAATTAAACGAATTTGATAACAATTTAGCTGAAAATTGGTATGTAAATAGTTCTCATTAGGAAGCACATTTTTTATTAGATCAATCCGCTTCAATCCTCCCTGATAACAAAATTATTTGGAGTTATAGCTTCACTACTCATGTAAATCCTTTAGAATGGCAACATTAATAAATTTTTAGGCTTTCCTTAGTTATTCTCTAGGTTATTAGCTTTAAAATGAGTATAGGAACTAGGTATATTTCATAGACGTTAGAGGCACTAGAATTTTTTTTTCGTAAACTTTTCGTGTTCCATTTGTTCCATGAGCCACTGTATGTTAGAGACATGAAACTAAAACTGATACTCGATTCGACTTATGCAACAATTTGGACATTACACTTTCATACTTGATGCACAATTCATCAAGTTAATTCTTTTGCACCAAATTTTTTAATACGACCAACTTGATTAATAATTCTAATTACGGATACTCTTTAATTAAAAATACATATCATTTTATGAAAATAAGAGAATCCCTTCAATTGCAATTACCGAATTAACCATAGCTGCTCTAGTCACCGTTACATGGTCCGTAATAAATGTGCCAAACAATATACAAAAGTTGCATTGAAAGGCTTATTATTATTATTAACGATAAATATTAATTCGTGAGTTTTAACTCTCAAGAGAAACACGATGTCAGCGTTCTATAATCCTATCCAACTAGATCTCCCACCAACATTATGTAGAACAGAAGTTCCTAAAGAAATATTTTTCGCACCAATTTGAAGACTATGATCCACACACCACTCATACCACACTTTACGTGAATCTGTCAACCGCCAAAAGTGAACATTTATTTTTGAATTGCCTGGAAGAAAGATGGGCGTCTATAAGAAGTCAAAATTATTGGTACTTAACAAGTATCCTGGTCAAGCATTAATAAGCGTGTATAGTGTATAAAAACAAAAACCTTTAAAGGGAAAAAGATTGGAAACCAACTAAACATCCCCTCTGAATGTGTTTTCGGATGAATGCTCATAGTAATATTCTTGTATAGCACGGATTCGAAAAACCCCGCAATTCCATGTAGAATTGCGCTATCAGTTATTGTGAAAGTGTTCTTTGAATATCGCGTATTATGAAAATTCGTAAGAGTATTTCCTAACGTATCAAATATCAGAAGTGGGTGAACAAAGTCTAATTTCATTGTACATAAAAATATACACTTAATTACCTTCATCGTCAACAACTAATTGTTTATTTGGATGTTCGAATTTCCAAACAATTTGTGGATCTGCTAATTGAGTGACAGCTTGAAACATTACAACATAGGGTGTCTCAAAATGCACCAAGTCTTTATAGGCAGCAGCCTCACTATGTAATTTGGATGAAGATAAAGGAGCAATATAGGTTATATAATTGGCTGGAATCGATATACCATCCTCTAGAAAAACAATTATGTTTTATATGTTAACATTATTAATATATTCTCAAAAAGTAAAAAAAGTTTGAACTCATCACCTTTAAGAAATTTTTGTGCTCCATCTAAACACTCTGGTGATAATTCATTATCGCCGAATGAACCTAATAATTCACTAACTATAATATCAGCCTATTGCCAATAAAAAAAAGGCATTAAAAAACTTAAACACGATAATTTAGTAACGTTCTTTCAACATATGATAATACTTTTTCTGGAGCCTTCCATCGTCGCATGTCCGAAAATGCTATAGTAACTTTATCTCCCCATACTTCGGCCTTCATATTTTGCAGCCTAGTTAAATATGAATTAAACAATCGATAAATCAATTAACATCTTGCATTCACGTAAATATCAAATGTACATGTAAAACATACGTGACAAAGGCATTTGGGTTCTTTTCAATAGCATATACTCTTATTGGCCTGTTAGCTTTTTCCGCTGCTGCTAAGCTTCGCGTTACAAGAGGACCACGCCCAGCACCAACGACCATTATGACGCTTCAAGAGGGGCCACAAAAGATACGAATGGTTCAATCACTCTTGTTAGGTCTTAAAAAAGTAAAATACTCGGATTACTCACGTAATTTCCTGCGAATTTGGTTGCACACGATCAAGTAGGGCGTGATATACCGCCTATGCTTAAAATAAATTAATCGGTGCCAAATATAAATCGTTCAGTTTGATCCGTCTTTCGCCTCGTGTTGTCAAGTCCCAATGGAGAGTCCGAAATCATGATTACATCCCAACGGATTTTGATAGAATAACGTTTTTCCAAAAGTCCGAAAAAACTGATTATTGAACTTTTTTTTCCTAATATCATACCTTTTCATATTGCGAGTATTTTATCGGATCTTTTTCAAATGTTTCATAAGTTGAAGACTCAAGATTATCCATTAATGGCTAAAGATTAAAATTAATTGGTATTAATTAGTGTATATATATTTTACACCTTAACATAAATGCTGATATATCTACCTGTAAAGGTGACTGCAAATAATCTTGGTAGCCGGTGGCAAATTTTTCTACCTCACTTAGTTCTGGCATAGTTCTGTTTAAATGGCGCAAGTATTCTTGATACGTAGAAGTACCGCCGATGGTAGTGTTTTTTCGATTTTCAGTGTCAGATATGATAAAATTTGCCCTAATCTATCCGTAACATTCGTTTTCAATAACTACTTGATTACTTAATATGGTCCAAGTATTATATTAAATTCTCATACTCTCATGAGCCTGCGAACAAAAGCTTGATGTTTTCTGCTAAGCACCGGATAACCTTTAGCGTTTGTCAGAAATATATTAGTTGGGACAATTACGGCTTTAATTGGTTCACCGAACCAACGTTCAAGAATATAGTTATCCGGCAGATCAGCAGTAAGCTCCAAAGCTAAACTCGGAGACGTTTAAAGCATTAAATATATTATTTACTTTCAATTGAATACATATTAATAATAATAAATACGCCTACCTATAGATAATTTAACATGATGTTCACAAAGAGTGCGAAATTGATTCCATCTTTCCCAAGTGATAGTCTCTTTAGTTTCCGCTATTTGCTCTTGTAAGATCAATGGCACTTGTAGCCAAACCTGATGAATTCAACTAGCGTCACGATCAATATGCTAGACGTGAAAAAGATGAATAGGACGCGTCGTGATAGAGTAAATAAAAATTGCAAAAACACACGTGCGTATACGCTAGTACTCCCAAAATAGAATGGACACTCCTAGCATAATTAAATGCAGAATCGTTTGGAAACGGTAAAAGCACAGCTGAAAGGCCTAAATGTGTCGCCCAAGCAATTTCTTGCTTCATAGCCTAGATAAACACGCGCATACATGTTATAGAGGTATACATAAAGTTAGAACCAAATACAACAATACATACTATTTCAGAATTTATTCGTATTTGAACGTCGGGTGAATCCAAATCTATCCATTCTGAAATTTTTCCGACCGCCATATCAGCGAATTCTAAATTTTCATGATAAAATGAGTATTTTTCGATTTGAAATTCACAAAAAAAGTTTTCAGCGAGAAGAATCAACCAACCAACACTTCTTAAAAATAAATCATCGAGAGAAAATGGGTTTCCTTCTCGCCAGTTTTCCATTGTTCTTCGCAATTCTTTGTTTAAGGAAAAGTCTACTTGCTCGTCGAACAAGTACCGTTTAAATTGCGGCCGAGATATTGGTACAACTAGGAAATCTTGTCCACTTTCTTTGGCTTGAACACCAAGTGTACGAAGATCAGGGCCTTCACTTGAACAAAAAACACCAAGAGGAACACGAGGCGGTAGAGAGTTCGAGTTTGGATCCATTAATTAAAATCGAAAAAAAATCGACCAACTTATTTATCTAACGCTAAATTTATGCAATCATTAGTTAACACAAAGAAAAAATTGATTTTTTATTATGGATGAATCTAATTGGAACATCCTGTTCCAGGAACAACCTCGGAAAATTAGTTCGGCTAGGGCCGGAAATTTCAAAATTTTTTTATTTGATTGGTTATTAAAAAACGTGATACATAGTGATTTTTATTGGGTGAAACGTGATAATCATGTGCCTATTATACTTTTCACTAGGCGAAAATGATTGGGTTGGGTTGGATATATTGTGATAATCTGAACATGTAATTTGTGAGTTATGTAATTAAATAAAAAAAATTAATAAATAAAAAATAAATAAATATCTTAGTAATTTTAACATATTATATTATTATGTTTTAGTTGATCACAGATATCACAAATATATGATGTAAGAAATCTTAATTTATCAATAAATTATGTAATATTTAAAGGCTATTAGAATCTTTAATAAATCAAATTTAAAAAAAATAAATCAGTAATAATATTATTTAAGATATATACTATTAAATTACCAGTCAGAATTTTAATTTAAGTTTTAAATAAAAAGTTATAAGCATTTTAAATTGGATATTTCTTATATGTTTTGATCAAAATTGAAATATATCATGTGATTTTTTTATCACATAAAAATAATTTTATTAGTTAATTATAATAAAATACTACATATTTATTAGTTTGATATTAATAATCATATGGTCTAAGCCTTATACTAAGTCCCTTAAAAAATTAATTGTATCTAACTATTTTAAGAAATACTGCTTAATTAGTATTTAAGTAAACTTTTAAATACTTAATGACATCTTACACAAAAAGATAAAAGCAAATAGTTAACTTTCTCAAAAAGAAAAGCTACTTTCTTTATCAAGAGACAAATCTTTCAAAAGCAATAATCATTACTAAAAATGAAGATATTATTGAGATAAATCTTTCAAAAGTAATAATCACTATTAAAAATGAAGATATTATTAAAATGGATCTCTCAAAAGTAATGACCATCACTGAGAATGAAGAAATTATTGAAATGGATGTATAGATAGAAGAAGAATTGATAGAGTTTCAAGAAATAGAAAAAAGATTTATTAATAATATTCTTGGATAACATAAAGATGCTGCAAATAAAGTAATATATTAGTAGACTTTTTTAGGTATATAACTAATATATTTTTAATATTTTGCTGAATTTAATAATTAAAATTTATTATGATATCAAATTTAATGACAATTTTTTCATATTTTATGTATATTTTTAATATCCTATTTGATCAGTATTTAGCTTTCTAGGTATATAACTGATATTTTTAATATATTTGAGAATTAAAACTTATTATAATATTAAAATAAATAATGATTAATTCATGTTTAGTATATTTTTTTTAATATTCTATTTGATCATTATTTAGCTTTTTGACCTGAAGAAGTATAATGATTTCAAATACAAAGCGTAATAGAGTATTAGTTATCTGTTTGATTTATAATTAGCTTTCTAATACTAAGAAATATATACAGTAGCAATCAAAAAGAATGCAACACTTGAATCAAATTTTTTAAATTATTATATCTTTAAAAATTTTAA